GAGTTCCAGGACAGCCAGGGACACCCAGAGAAACCCTGTCTTAAAAAACAAACAACAAAAATTCCTGCTGTGTCCTTACAGCTATGGTCTGAAGTTAGTTGATAATGGTAACAATCACGCCAAGCTAAATGGCTACGCAGAAGTACAGAAACTATGACATATGTGTCACTTTTAGAAGTACTGGAAAATGGAGACTTATAAAACAGTGGATCTTGGTCCTCTCCCCCTAACACCAAGGACACTTCCTCAGGGCCTGGAGCTGCTGGATCTCTATTCAGTGACAGGGGCCAAGGTCACTGTGAGTGACCTCAAGCATGATGCCTGGGCTGAGCAGACATATTAGCTCATGGGTGCACAAAACCAAGAAAGATATTTGTCCTAGAAGTTAGAATGGAGTGTTCCAGAAGCCATCTACACAACCTTTAGCACTAATGTTCTTTGCAGAGCCATATCAGGATGCTTTAATGTTGGGGCATCTTAGACTTTACTGTGACCTGCTCTGCAACTTTATTTCCATGAAGAGTCTCTAAGTACTGACAGGACCCCCCACCCCACGTGTGAGTGTGCGTGTGTGCATGTGTGTGCATGTGTGTGTGTGTGTGTGTGTGTGTGTGTGTGTGTGTGTGTGTGTGTGTGTGTTTGCCTCTGCATATAGCTGTGGAGGCCAGAGGTCAACTGATTGTCCTTTTCTATTGCTTTCCACCTTACTTTTGGAGACAGGGTCTTTCCCTGAACCTGGAGCTCACTGATTGGCTAGACTTGTTGGCCACCAAGCCCCACTATTTACTAGTCCTTCTGCCCCTTCAGCATGGGGTTACATGTTTCCATGCCTAACCTTTCCATAGGTGTGTGGGATCTGATTTCAGGTTTTCTTGTTGGTGCATCAAGCATTTTACCCTGTAAGCCATCTCCCTAGCCCAATCACAGACCATTTAATAAATAAAAGTCTTTCGAGTACAAGGGTCTCAGAGAACTAAGTTGTATGCTGGCTCTGTGGTATGTTAAGTTGGAGGCCAAGGTTGTGAGACTGCTCAGTATGGTAAATACAGATTGTGAAACTCCCTCCCTCATCTGCACACAGGATCCCAGCACCAGAATTTGCTTCCTTCAGTCCACATGTCTGTCAATGTGTGTGTCTGTTTATTGGATATAATCTGGAAAGTGTCTTCTCATTCTCTTATATCCTGTGTGTGTTGTGTACACGTGTATATGTTCATGTGCATCTGGAAGCCAGAAGAGAATGTCAAATATTGTTTCTCAGGGACTGTCACCTTGTTTTTGAGACAGGCTTGCTCTTTGGCCTGAGACTTACCACATAGGCCAGGCTGGTTGACCAGTGAACCCCAGGGATCCTCCTACTTTGCCAGCACTTGGATTATAACCACATGTTGCCACACTCAGCTTTTTAATTGTGGCTTCTAGGGACTGAATTCAGGTCCTTGCAAGTACTTTACTGTTTCATCCCCCAGATCCCCAGTCTCTTTTATCTTATCACTGGGAACATCCAATTTTGAACCACACATTTGACCTGTTCTTGACCATCTTTTGTCATTTTAGGAACATTTCTAAATACCTGCTACTACCATATCTGTAAAATACACACTACCAGAATTAGAAGTCGCAGGTGCCCTTTGCAGGACAAGCTTCTCCACAGGCATACCATCAGCCAGCATCCCTCTGGCCTAATTTCCTAGTTACACATGTTTTAAATTGGGAAGAGAAATTTATCCTTTGGGGGAACACTAGATAACCATGCTAGGCTTTGAGGCTGCTATTTCAAGTCTAAGTAAATATCAACTCAGTTGTGCAGACTTGGGAATCATTAGGTGTGAAGGATAGTACATTATGTGAACCTATATGAGACTTATTATAAAATATTTGTATTGATCAGGTACTTACATTTATTTAAATTCTAGATCCATAGTCCTTTTTAAATAGTTACCTTCATTTAAAAATTCAACTTTGTATTAGAAAGAATTCTGAACCTTCAGAAAATTTTCTTTAAGAACGAGATACTAAAAGCATTTGTGGCACAGTAGTCTTTATGTCTCTCTGTTTTGAGTTGTCTGTGGAACACACTTCCCTTTGTTTTCCTGGGATCTCAGCTCTGTGTGTGTGTGTGTGTGTGTGTGTGTGTGTGTGTGTGTGTGTATGTGTATGCATGTGCACACACATGTGTGCAAACACTGTGCATATTTTCAAAAGATTTATTATTTTATGTGTATCTGTTTGCCTGCATGTATGTATATGTCCCATGTGTGTGCAATGCTTGTGGAGGCTCCTTGGAGGATTCCTTGGAACTGGTGTCACAGATGGTTGTGAGCCATCATGTGGGCACTAGGAACTGATCCTGGGTTTTCTGAAAGAGCAACCAATGGGCTTAGCCTCTGAGCCATCTCCTTAGTCCAGTACCTGTGTTTTTATTAGCGAAGAACCATGCTACAAAACAACACCTTCTCTTGCTATTCCCTACGTTTTTGTAGCATACTTCAGTCCTACTCATCCACCTCACTCTTTCATTCCATCCCTTCATCCCAACAGTCCTTTTACTTCCAAATGTCTTATTTTTACACTTTTAAAGTTTAGACTGTGTGTAAGAGAAAGCATGTCTGTTATATCTGCCCGAGTCCGTCTGTCTTCACTGAGCATGGTCACCTCCAGCTCTTTCCATTTTCCTGAAAGTGACATGATTTCATTCTTCAGGGCTGAATAAAACTCCATTGTACATTCACCACATTTTTTCCCATCATCTGTAGATGGACACGCAGGCTGGCTCTATAGCTTGGCTATTATGGATGGTGTTGAGATAAATGTGGATGTTTAAATATCTCTGTGATGTGAAGATTTAGTGTCCTTCATTGTGTACCCAGGAGTGGAACAGCTGTATCCCATGGAAGTCTTGCTTTTAATTTTTGTAAGAACCTTGCATATTGAGTTCCATAGTGGTTGCACTAATTTCCATCCCTGCATAGTACATAGGGCTCCTTTTCCTCAGAGGTCAGCCTTTGTTATTGTGTTTGCTTGTTCACTTTTTAAATGACTGGAGTAGGAGAGAAACACATTGGAGCTTTTAAAAATTAACCATGTCACTTAAAATTTTAATTTTAGTGGTGTGTGTCCGTGTCAGTGTGCAGTACATGCCTGTGTATGCACATGCAGAGGCCAGAGGAAGATATCAGTGTCTTCCCACTTCATTTCCTTGAGCAGGGTCTCACTGATCAGGAAACTCACTATTTTTCTTAGAATGGTTGGCCAGGCAGCTCTTGGGATCCACCTGCCTCCACTCCCCAGTGCTGCATTTACAAATATGGGTATCCATGCCTTTTTATAATTATTTTTAATTTTTCTATTTTTTTTTAACCTGGGTGTCAAGAATCCAAACACAGGTCCTCATGTTTGCAGAACAAGCACTCTTACCCAGTGCACCCCCAGAGGCCCACATTGTAGACTGGATTTGCACTTCCCTGATGACAAGGGAGGTTGGACATCTTCTTATGCATTTATTAGCCACTTGTACTCTTGAGAACCATTTGTTCAATTCATTCACCTGCTTATTGATTATTTGTTCTTTTGTTATTCAGTCCTTCAAGTTCTTTATATATTCTGGATACACCTGTCAGATGACTGGCTGGCAAAGATTTTCTCCTGTCCCCCGTGCCTGTGCTAACACTCTGGCGATTGTTTGCTTTGCTGAAGAACTGTGAGCTGTGTGTGTGAAGAGAGTTCCTGAGCTATGGTGTCATTTTCAGAAAGTCCTTGCCTAGATCTTTAAGCATCTCTCCTGCATTTTCCTTCAGTGGGTTCAGTGTTTCAAGTCTTACATACATGTCCTTGATGCATTATTTTGGGGGGCAGGGTGAGTCTGGGGTCTAGCTTTGGTTTTCAGTCTCAGAGTGTCCAGTGTTCCAGTACCATGAGTTGAAGAGAAGAGACCAGTATGTGCTCCTGACCCTGCATTGAGCACTAGGTGGCTGGAGTGTGTAGCATCCTTTGGGGGCCTCCGGTCTATTCTATTGGTAGGCATCTGTGTCTGTGTCAGCACCCTAGTTTTGTTACCATGGCTCTGTAGTGTAATTTGGGATCTTTGTGTTTCCATATTAATCACAGGGCTTTTTGTTTGTTTTTCCTGTGAAAAATGACATTGGAATTTTGATGGGAATTGTACTGACTCTATAGTTTGCTTTCAGCAATGCATCTGTTTTCATGAGGTTAATACTTCTGATTTGTTGTGTGAGGGAGGTCATGGATCTTCTGGTGTGGTCTTCAACACACTGATGTGCATTTTGTTTTCTGGAGAAAGTCTTCAAACATCAAGGAAGTTGAGTCTCACGGTTCTTTCTGACTTCAAGGCATAGATTTCCTAAAAACAAGGACTGACTTCTCCCATAATCACAGTACAGTGCCAGTCTCAATTGATTAATCATTTTATTTAATCTATAATTCATTTGGCTCATTTGACCCAGCAGTATCCTTTATAGAAGTTTTTTGGCCAGTGAGGTTTCCCAGTGGGTAAAGATGCTCGCCAAAAGCCTAACAACCTGAGGTCAGTCCCATGCGGTAGAAGAGGAGAAGTACTTCCTGGAGCAGCCCTCTGACCTCCACACCTACACTGTGGCATGCGTACCCCTCCCCCAGTAACTAAATAATTATAATGGAAATTTATTAGAAAAGTAACTCTTAACAGTGATGGTTTCTCTCTTGAAACTAGATGAATGTCTCTGCTCTCCCCTCAGTTCCAGTACACGTAACACATAGGAAATATCTGTGCGGATTCTGTTGGATGCATATGTGGATGTTAGGCTGAGCTCAGGTCAGATGTTTGCTTTTTGAGGGTACGTGCCAGTTCTGACTCCTGGCAAGGACTCACAAATGTTTACCAGAGTATCTCTTCCCTCAGCAGCTTCGATGGTATACAATTGCATGACACAGAAGCCTGCTGTGATGTCTGTGGCTGAGCCTAAATTCTCTAACCTTTTGTCACTCTTCCTATCTGACCATAGATCCCGCTCACCAGCTCGGGTAATGTGCCATATCTCGAATTCCTGTCCAGGTTTGGTGGAATTGATCTAAATATAAATGCTATAAAGAGGTAAGTGTTTTTTGTTTTGTTTCTTGCTTTTTGTTACTCACATTAACATTTGACACTTGATAAGATCAAATGATCAGAGTCATAAGCCACTAGAGTCAGTCTTGGTCACACATCTATACCTGCGTCTGTATCTCTCTGAGGCTGAGGCTTACTGTTTTGAATCATGATCCTCCTGCCTCAGCCTCTTGCAGCACCATGCTTAACCCATATCTGTATCTCCATGGAAAATGCATGGGAGAGCTTGTCCATGTAATGTTTACTGGATTAATCTGCAGTCAAAATTTTATTTGGAAAGAAGAATGAGGCTATACTAGAACATGAACACAACAGGTTAAAGTTAGGTTTGAAATACCCTGTGTCCAATGTATTTTAGATCTGGAAATAGCAGGTTTTAATGTTGAAGTAAAATATTAGGATTCCAGATTTGAAATTTGTTGTTTTTGTACATTTTTGTGCTGTTCATCAGAAAGTGATTTGTTGGATGGAGGAAAACAGGGTGTTAAAAGTTTTGTAAAGGCACCTCTGTGATTCACAGTTTTAGCATAAATATAGGACTCACTGGCTTGTAATAGCCTGTGGGGGCTGGCATACAACCTTCAATGGCTCAGTCAGCAGGAATGCTTTGGGTCCCAGTTTGTGGCTTAGGAAATACTGTTTTAGTAAGAAAGTTACTCACTGCTTATCTGACTGTGTGAATAAGCCTCATTTTCTATGGAGCTATGCAAACAATTAAGTAATTCAGTTTGGGGGCTGGAGAGATGACTCAGCAGTTTGAAAGACCTGAATTCTGTTCCCAACACCCATGTCAAGCAGCTCATAACCGACTATAACCGATTGAGGGATCCAATGTCCTCTTCTGGCCTCCATGGGCACTGCCCTCATATACACTCAACACCTAAATAAAGACAAGTTTGATCCTGTACAGTTAGCACCTTTTAGTATTGCCCTTATAGAGTTACCTCCCCCTCCACCCCTGCAGCTCAGGCACAAGCATCATTGCAGCAGGAGGAAGGGGTGATGGGGAGCTGTAGACAGTGGGGGAACTGTAGCAATGGGGAGTCGCAGGTGATGGGGAGCTGTGGCCCTTAAGACTTCTGCAGTATGCTGAACGCTACTGAACTATGTACTTAAAACCCGTTCAGCGGTTTTTTGTTTTTTTTTTTTTTTTTTTTATCTTTTTGTGGTGGTAAAAGACTGAGCCCAGAGACTTCATGCATACTAGGTAAGTACTTTTTCCATGGAGCTACATTCCTAGCCCATAAGAACAAATTTTATAACTTTCTTTTCTTTAAATTGCAATTTTAAAAAATCATTAGCAAAATAGCTCTAGCTGCAGTGACAGATACCAGCTACTCTCCATGGCTTGAGTGAGTCCCCAGGAATTCTTATGTTCACCTTAATTCCTTGGTTGGCACTGCTGGGACTGGGGCCTGATGGAAAATGTTTGGTTTTGCGGTAAGAACCTGCAGAAAAGGTTGTACTGTTTTCACAATAGTGGATCTGTCTTCCACACATGCCTGGCTGCCTTTCAACCCCCATCTGCCTTTCCACACGTGCCTGCTCTTTCTCTCTCTGCCACCAGCTGAAGGAGTGTGAGACCCTCGCTTGGACCGTCAGTTCTTTAACCAGTTCTTTCTCCCTGAGCCCAGACAGTTCTTTTCATTATAAACTGCCCAGTCTTGGCTATCCTGTCACAGCACCAGAAACATACCAGGTATAGTCTGTGCCTGGGAGGCCTCAGTGCTCTGTTTGGTGTTGAATAAGTCATAAACTAAGCTGCTTTCCACAGTCATCAGAACAATGACTGGTTACTTCACAGACTCCGTATCCACGGCTAAGCTCTTGACCCAAACCCACCCCATTTGTGGGGTACACCTGTTTTGAATATTCTTTGTTAAAAAAAAAAAAAACTAAGAATCTAGGAAATCCAAAAGTAAGATAACTTTTTGTGTGTAGATTTTTTGTAGTAGACTGTCACCTGTGGTTGCCCTTTGGAAGGGGTGACCTGGTATGAAGAACAAACTCATGGCAGCTGTGGCAGTGTGTCCCAGAGGTTGTCTTTATCTTTGCCCTTTCCTGAAACTGCTCTATTTTACAAGCTGCCATGGGCCACATAAGCTCTGCTCTACCTCTCATTGCCTGGTGGCTGGAACATCCTGAGTGAGGCATTTTATCACTGCACGAAAAGAAACTAAGACCACGTGAGAGTCATGGACATACAGTAGAAATCACATGTCTCCTCTGAGCCTTGGTCCTTTCCTAGTTAGGGGCATGCAGTACAGCTGTCTTGTGATGTGAGGTGTGGGGAGTGGCTGCTCCTGGTCAGCTGGGGTTGAGCCGCTCACACCCCGCAGCATGCTGCTATGCCCACTGTGGTGTGGGGAAGGCTTGGGAAAGCTGTGTTATGTAGAGTTTGGTATTTTCCACAGCATGAATTGAGCATCCACGCTTGGAAACAGCAGAACCACACGTTTGCTTACTGTATTCAGTCCAGTGTATTTCAGCCAGGTCCTGTATGATTTCTTCATACCAACTTGCCTAAACTGAGGGACAGCCCATGAGAGCTGCTTAACTGGGCTGCAGCAGAATAATTAGCTCAAGTCCCTACCATGGTGGAGGTGAGACTTACTGTGGATACAGGACTTCCTTCCTGGAAGATGGCTGTGGAGGACACTTTTATTCCAGGTCACACTCCATGCCATTGAACATGCAGAGGAAAGACCATTCTGAAAAGGTCTACACTCCATCTCCTGCCCTGGCCTCCTTAACTACCAGAACTGACCAAATATAAAAATTACCATAGGGGCTCCTGGTTGCCATGGCAAACTAACTAAAGTGGAGGCAGCAGGAAGAGCATGAGGGATATTTTGCCTATAGATGCAATTATAACTCAGATGCTATGTTCAAGATGAGGGATTGTTTGTCCAGTGCGGAGGGGCTTGTGCTCTCTGTAAATATGGACAGCATCACCATTCATCTTTTAGAAACACACATGGGTAATTTACTAAAAGAGAAGTTAATATTCTCTCTTCTGGTGTGGTTTTTTTTTTGGGGGGGGTGGGGTGGGGGATATTTAGGAGGACCAGCCAGAGCCTTGCTCATGCTAGGCAAGCTCTATACTGAGCTACATGCCCAGCCAAAATGAGCCAGTGTAACCACTGTCATTTACTTCTAGTGGGCACATCAGACACCTTTATATATGGGCTGTACGAAGAGCCCTCTGTGCAGTGAGGAATCCACATGGCATTGGCACTGTGCTGACTGGATGAACTATAATAGTCTTCCATGTATAACACCATGCAGATCTCAGGGAAGTTGACAAAGCATTCTGGGCTTTGCCTTTAACCACAGAGTTCTGAAGAAGTTTCTGGAGCGTGATCATTATGTTGAAAGCTGAATTCCCTACCAGAGAACAGGCCTTGTGGTGTGGTGTTGCCTGCCCCAAATAAAGATTTGGGGCCAAATAAAGACATTTTAAATTTTGTTTGTGGAAATTGGCAGCCAATCTGAGATGCTGACTCACCAGTATAGAAGAGGTAAAAGAAAAAAACGCGGTCAAAAGGCAGAGATTTTAGAAACATAAAACAATGAACTTTGTGAAACTGAGGAATTAGAAGTGTGAGTGGCTATGCAAATGGTCACAGAATTTCTGAGGGTGGACTGAGTTGGAGTTCGCTGAGCCTGAGCCCCAGCTGTTTCTGGCAGGAGACTGGGTGCATGAACATCACATACAGAACATCACACACAGAGGTCACATTTGCACATTGTTAGGATTTTTAGGGAAGCAAATGTTTAACTTCCAGACGGGAAAAAATGACTAGAGAGAGAGAGAGAGAGAGAAAGGAAGAGATGGAGGGAGGGAGAGGGAGACACAGGGAGGGAGAGGGAGAGAGGGAGAGAAAGAGAAAGCTAGAACAAGTGGCAAAAACAAGGAACATAAAGCAGATTAACAGCCCCAAACACACGTGTACATTATGCATTCTATAAAGGAGCTAAATTATCAGTTAAAGGATAGACGGCAGACTGGTAAATTCAGCTATCAGCTTTTAAAGTGAAGATGCCTTCGGCACAAGGATAAAAAGGGTTGGAGAGAAAAGATGGAAAGACTCTCCCTACAGAGTCAGAGTAACTGCTGGTTACAGGAAATGTATATTATTACACTTAAACATTTAATTATTGTAAACATTTTTCTTAAAAGACAAAGATTGACTGGTTCCAGCTAGAGAAAAATATAGGTCTAGACACACAGAAGGTGAAAAGCGCAAGATTTGAAAAGGTTGTACTATTCTGCGCTCATCATCGATTTTTATTCTGTAACTCTTACATGTATGCTATTGCATTGACTGAATATGCCACTCAAACAGCAGTAAGAAGCTTATGTTAACACAGAGTGAAATTGCTGACCCGTCCGTCTGTAACTTGGGCACATAACTGACTTGTGCTCAGCACTGCCTTCTTCCTGCATACATAAAGCGCTGCTCCAAGGGCTTCATGCTCCCTAGTTAGAAGTCCAGATTCCTTCTTATGGCTCACAACACCTCTCTGTCTCTGAACTTCCCTTGTGTATCTCTGATCCATCCATCTAGCTCCAGCCACTTAATGCCGACTCCTGTGTGCTGAGCACCTGCCTCTGGGGCTGCCTGCCATTGCCTATTCCTTTGTGTGGCTTGGAGAGCTGCACTGTCCTTTAGCTCAAGGGTCTCTATTGACATGACACCTGAGCAGAGGCCGCTTATTACCCTCACCCCAAACATTACCCATTGCCCTGCCTCCAGCTTCCCCTCATTCATCATTATTCTCTCCCTGGTGTCTATCATCACTTGTGTTTTGTCATCTGTTGCTGTCTCTAGTGGGGATGGTGTCCTGCTCACCACTCCAGCCTAGTCTGGCTGTGTGGGAGGTGATGGAGAAATGGCACCCAACCCTACCAGTCATTCTTAAAGAAAGCTCCAACATGCTGCTGGGTGCCACACAGATCCTGCAAACCTCAGGAGAGCTGGGACCAGCAGGTGGAGCCCAGCAGGTGACACAGGCTCAGAAGTCCCTTACTGAAAGATTCCTGGTGTCAGATAGGACTGGGAGTCCACCACCCAGACTCCTTATTGGATGACCACTGGCCCAGAGCAGTGCTGTGGGCTTGGGTGAAGTGAGGTTTGGTGTCCGTCAAGTGCCCACACTCCCTGAAGACAAGTAAATACTGCATTTCTTTTCTTTGATAAGGGAAATGCAGCCTGGGGAAGCTCACGGTCCTGGAAAATACTCAGCATTTTACAAGAGGTGATTCAGAAAGGCTTTGGAATATCACTGTGCAGGACCAGTGTCACCATCAATTGGGGGAAATGTTAACAAAAATTGTTTTATTTTACTTTCAAGGGGAAATGGGAAGGAGGTAGACTACAAGCGGACATTCAAAGAGCTTGAAGCCCAACTGGCTGAAAAGGTAAGAGTGATTTAAAAAGATGCTTTCCTCCCCACTCTGCCAGCCCAGGCAGGTGACCCTAGTGTGGGCTTCTGGTCATGTGAGTTCTGTGAAAGAAGACACAAACTCTGGCACCCTGCCTGTCACTTTGCAGCTCTTGGCAATGACATTGACTTCTGTGTTAACTTGGGACACATATCAGCAGCTGCCTGTCCTGTCTCTGTGTCATATTTGAGCAATTTTCTCATCAGGATGAGGAAGCAACTGCTCCTGAGCAGCAAATGCCAGTCCTGAGCAGTGTAGAGAAAATAACCCGTCCAGTGCCAAGAGAGAGGTATCACAGTGAGGGGTCACTCAGCCCCAGGAGCCACTGTATGTGTTTAGATGAGATTTGGTGGCTCTGCCACTTGGTTAGGTCTCACCATGGCTGAGTGGGGGTGGGGATGCCATACTGGGCTTGGAACTGAGATGTCTTTTTAAAATGCACTAGAGCCTGTCAGTTCTGTGAACAGTTTGAGAATCATGGCTTAAATTACTTGATTCAATATGTTGGTTTGAAATTGGATGCATTTTCTTTCTTTTTTGAACTCTTCTGAGACTTCCATACATTTCAAACTCAAAAATAACCAAGAAGGCCACAAAATGTTTGCTTCCAGCTCTTGGGATTGTCCCGTCTACACCAGAGGAATCATGCAACTTATCATTTCAGAGCATTGGGTGTCCCCACTCCTGAGTCACATGGTGGGTATGAATTAGAGCCCTGGTCCTAACTCTGGTGTAGTCCATGGGTTATTCTGTAGAAATACTCAGTCCTAGTGGTAATTACTTTGGTCACATCTTTGTCTTTGTGTAAGCTGTATTCATACAGAACACTCCTGGGAAAGCCAGCTGTGTAGGATGGTCCTCCCCATCCTGGCAGCTTAAGTATCATCATGGGTGCATAGGAGGTATTACAGAGAGTCCACAGTGAATGGACATGGGTGGGTATTGTAAATATCACAGAAAAGCCCTTGCCATCCTGTGCTCACATACAAAAGGGGCACCCCTTTAGGCTTTTCTCCCCCATGGGAGCTGCAGGACAGTGAGTCTAAGCCACCACCGGCTCATGTGAGGGTAAAGGCCACCAGTAGAAGCTGAAGCTCCAGTTCTGCCTACAGCCCTGACTGTGCCAACCAAAACTAACCTCAGACCACACCATGGCCCGATTCCTCTCTTAGGTTGCTGCCATCTTCCAGCCAGGTGGCCTCAGGCTGATTCCTTGTTACTGAGTTTGTTCATGTGTCAGTGCGGACAACGGTGCCCACCATGAAGAGTGTGTGTGGTGTGTGTGACTAAAAACATCTGCGAGGAAGCCAGGCAGCTTGGAGTGGTGTCTAGCTGCTAGCTACAGCTTCTTTCTGAGGGGAGGCGGAGCCCCAGAAAACCTCATAAAACATCTCTGTTTAGCGGGGAAGGGGGGAGCAGCAGATGCCCTGCTGGCTGGGTGAAACCTAATTCCCAGGTCCTGTGAAGATCCCACTTCTGACACCAAATAAAGTGTGGGAATTAAGGTTCACTGGACTCATTTTAGGTTAAGTGAGGTTTATTTGGGGAGAATTCACTTACATATGAAGCAGATCACTGCCGCGGGTTCCCACTCCATGGATGCCACCCTCCCACCCAGATGCTATCTGCAACTCAACCAGGAAGCAAGAGAGAGAGCTGGGGTCCAGGACCCCAGACCTAGCCTCCCCTGTCAAGTCCGTTCCTGTGACCATGCCCAAATGGGCATGGTCAGTGCAACGGGTGTGGGTGGTGTGGATATCTCACTACATACATCTCTTCTACTATGCAGCGCACAGAGGACCACCCCACTGAGTATAACTAGCTGTCCACCCCTCACTCCTTTTTAGGTTCCCTGGATCCTGGTAGTGGTTACATGGTGATGCTAGAGGCTAAGAAGATGGCCATGAGGTTAATGAAATTAGGCACTTCCTGTGCCGTCCTTCCCCGGCTCAGAGAGAGTTAGTTTGTAATGAAAGAAAGCTGAATTTGGAGGTCAGATTTTCCTCGTGTGCATATGAATTTGCTTTCTGAAAGTAGCATGATAACTAGGCAGATTAGCTGGCCCCCAGAACTGGCATCCTCTCATTTTTGCATAGTGACAGCTGGTTTATCAACCTCTGCCTTCTGACTCAGACTTCCAAATGTGTTCATGGTCACCCTCATTATCCAGTTAACCCCTGGGCATTGGAGTCTTGGCCTTCATCCATCAGCCAGAGCATAGTCTGGGCTGGATGATTCCCAGGCCCAGTCTCAATTCCATGACTTTGCTGTATGGGTGGAGAGATACCACTTCCATGGGGCTCACCACTGTCAGTCAAGGGCATTCCCAGGGCAGACTCAGAAGAGCCTACCTAGTCTTGGCTTAGGTTTAGTCTGAATGCAGGTCCCTTCCACTCACCCTGAGTTCTGCCTGGACCTCACACACTCATTGCCTTGGCCATGGTCTTCGTTGTGGTCACAAAGAAGCCCTTTGGCTGAGTGTTCCTGGACCTCTATTGTATCTCTCTAGCATTTAGCTTTCCTGTTTCTGAAAACTAGGGACAGTGGGGGTCTAGAGACAAGCTGCTTAGTGCATGGGTGTGCCCTGCCTCTGATGACTAGACCCCTCCATGCCAAACCCCTAGCCTGACATGACACTAGGTGGCGCCTTCTTGGCCACATAGATAAGTAACATGTTTCCAGGTGAGGGCCAGGTGAGGCCTCTGCTTCACTAGATGGGGAGAGATGATGGGAGAGAGGGGGTGGGGAGGCAAAGGGAGGGGAGGAGAGGGAACTGACTCAAGATCAGCCAGCCTTTTCTCTGTCCTCAGGTGTGACACTTCAGGGCCATTTTCCCCATTCTTCCAACTAGTTCTAAAGGAAGGTATGCTGGTTAGTTTTAAACCACATCTTGCCACAGCCTAGAATCACGTGGGATGAGTCTTACTGGCCAGTAGGCATATCTGTCAGGGATGTCTTGATTGTTAATCTGCAAGGAGTCACCCTGAATGTAGGCAGCACCATGCCATGGGTTGGGTCCTGAATTGGGTGAGAGTGAATAAAGCAAGGAAAGCATGAGCAGCAAGCAAGGATGTGGCTCCTCTCCTTGCTCTTGACTGTGGATGTGGTAGGACCAGCCTCTTGAGTTTCTGTGTCAATTTCCCTGAAATGATGAACTGCGACCTGGATTGTGAACTAACAGAGCCTTTCTTCTTTAAGCAGCTTTTGGTCAGGGCATTTTATTACAACAACAGAAATTAGGACACAAGGGGGAAACTTCTTCCCATGCCTCACAGCTGGGGTGTGCCCCTCACCCACTTCTACCCTTGGCCTGGGAAGGAACAGGTCCTTACCAGCAGCCTGAACCAGCTCTGTGTGTCTTGCATGTGGTGGCTGGGGGCCATCCAGCAAGAGAGAGCAGGGCAGGAGGAGGAGAGGAAGTTGGTTGGGGAAGGCACCTGACCATTGGTTTTCTGTTGGATACTGATCAGTGTGTGGCTTTTGCCAGCTCTGGTTACAGTGCTCACTAGGACTATTGTAGCAGTGTGCTGAGCACCCTCTAGGACTATTTAGGAGCTTCATTGTATTGAACCTGTTTCCAGAGATTCTCACAAGGTAGGACCACTCTCATCCCATACAAATATATGGGAAACCGAGGAAGGAGTGAGCAGCCGGGCCATGAGTACACAGCTGTGGGTGGAGAAGGCCCTGAGCTACCCTCCTTTCTGGGTCTCTCAGGAAAGGTGCTGTGGCTGATTTTTGTATTCAGCAAACATGTACCTGGTCCTGCCCATAGCCAGGGTCACTCTTCATCTAAGAGTAGCATCTGTTGCCTCTACCAGAGTTGTAAACAAAGCTGCTCTGACCATGAGGTCACCTGTGTATTTGTGGGGCAGGGCTTCCCCTATACTTCCTCTGGCACCCTGTCCTTTCACACTCCTTCCCACCTTTGTGCCTGTGTCCTTGCTCTTGTCTGCCTTGTGGGTTCCAGCTTCCATTATAGGGTGCTGGATAAGTCCAAGCCTCAAACTTAGCCAGTTCATGTTTTTTGAAGCTAGGGCTTCAGCCGGACAAAAAGGAATCAAAGTGAAATGTCAGTGTATGATCAGGCTAATGGTATTGGTCTTTGCCCTGTTTTGCATTTGTGGACTCCCACATGAGGTGCAGTAGGAATGAAAGAGGCTGGTAAAGGAAGAAAATATCACCCTGTCCCTGGGTGGGGAGCACTAATAGCCATGTACACGGAATAACTAAGAAGCCCCCACATGGTTCTGCCTTGCACAGGAATGTGGCACATAGTGAGAATGGCTAGAGCTCCAGACCCTCCTCAACCTGTCACACACAAAAACAGTTCTGAACCAGAGACTGGAATTCAGGCATATGTCATTCAGTTAAGGAGGCACAAAAAGGAGAAACTGCCAAAGGCCCAGCCTGTTCACATTGTGTGGTTCTCCAAGTTAAACTCTCAAAAGGAGAAAGGGCTCGAGGGCATGGGCACTAGTGATGCTGGAACATCTGGTCGACCCAGTCAGCTGTGACTACCATGTCTGTTGAGTACTGAGTGATCCCACCCAGCATTGATGGGATTATTGTGGTGCCTCAGAATTGTAGGATGCAGCCTACATCATTTTCGAAGTAATTGGTGAATCATTCAAGTAAGCTGCCTGCTTGCTCTGTGCTCCCCCTGTGGAGAAGACACAAGAGTGAGGGGTAGGTTGTCTTTCCTAGACAGGTGAGCTTTATTTTAAAAAGGCATTTACAGAGTTGTATTTAGGACTGGAGAGATGGCTCATCTAGTGAAGTGGTTGGCTTGCAAGCATGAGGACCTGAGTTCAGCCCCCAGCATCCACTTAAGAAAGCTGATCATTTAACATATGCTCGTAATCCCCGTGCTGGGCAGGTGAAGGTTTGTCTCTGCAGCTTATTGGTCAACCATCTAGCCTGTTTATGAGTTCCAGGTCCCAGTGAAAGATCTGTCCCCCAAAAAACATGATTGG